TCCCTGACAGCAGACTTTCCTAATACAATGCATTTTTTTTACTTTATGAAAATTTTTGTTTTATATCACAATTTTAGTTTTATTTATAAAGTTCATATACACTGTTTTTCACACTAGATCTTTCCCATTTCCTCCCCCCCCCATCAAATTGTGAGACCCTATGATTAACCGTCCCCCCACACACACATCTTCATCCCTCTACTCCCATCTTTCCACCTTCCTTGGATATTCATACTCATCCTACAATAATGATCTTACATACTATTTTGTCTTTACAGGACTGAGTTAGTTCACTTAGCATAATGCTCTCCAGTCCCTCCCAAGCTAGGCAGTAATTTACAAAATCATTTCTTCTAGGTGCTGAATGCAACTAACCTTTTGATTTCTTGACTGCTGGTGCCAAGAATGTTGCCTGTGGATCTGAACAAGATGAATTTGTTAACAGCCACAGTCTTTTTTCCATCTATCATGATGCTGCTGATTGACCCAGCAGTGAGAACCTTTGCTTTCTTGTTTTTGAGATGCAATTGATATTGGAGAAAGCAGTCCTTGACCTTCTGCAGCAATACTGCCACTAAACTACTACTGCTCTCTCCTGTCTCCATCAAAGTTTTACGTGCTTCTAAATCCAAATCAACTCATAGTTGACTATCCAGTGGGTTTTCAGAGGCAGTAAATCATATAGGAGAATGCCACACTCCTCTGATGAACAGGAAAATGTCAGCCAATCGGGATGAACTACTCAAGACTTTTCTTAGTCAAGCAGCAAGAAGAGAGAAACTCATGGTTGAGTGTCCTCCTGGTCTATACATCCTCATAGCTTCTTGAGAAGTTTTTCCATTATATAAGCAGTAAAATACGTTAACTAAACTCCAAGGTTGTTTTGGTTTTGGTTTGATTTGGGGGTTGGTGGGGTGTTTTTTTTTTCATGGGTTTTTTTTTACCTTCACTGTTTCCATGACTACATCTTTATTGGAAGGCTGCTTCAGCATGAGAATCAAATTTTGATTTCGCAAAGCAGGGGGTTTATTTTGTCTTTAGCCCAGGCAGCTCATGCCTTAGTCAGCTTAACACCTACAGGAGAAGATCTTTATCCTGTACAGCAGCTGGTGGATTCAAACCTTGCCCCTTTGGGTGGGCAGAGCAACTCCGTAACCAGCAGGCAACCAGAGTTCCCCTCAATCAAGGGGGGATAGATAAGTTTCACCATCAGAATAATTAGCTTCTAGAGGGTACCAGTCTGGAAAGAGCATTGTTGTGTGCTATTATATTTGAACAGACTCAGTTGACTGTCCAGTAGGTTTTCACTGGCAATAAATCTCACAGAAGGAGATTGCCCATCCTTCTCTCATGGAAAGAGCGTTAGCAAAGTGATTTATTTTAAATGAGATGCAAGAACTAATTAACTTCCCTTGGTTGCCTAATAGGGCAGAGTTCAGCTTTGACGTAGACACTTACCTTGATCCGAGATTTAGACATAGAGAACCTTCTATGGCTAAAAAGGGATCCCTAGTCCCAAATCCTTCCAGTCATGTTCTATCTTCCACAGAACACAAGCATTCAAGTTTATTTAATCTGGCCCAGCCCTCAGTCCTCCATCCTGCCACCACATTCCAGCACAATCTCTGCCACAGCAGGCCAAACTTGTCAGAGTATTTCCTGACACCACATTTCATGGTCCTCATAGTTATCCTCCCTGGAAACATCTATGAAGAACCTAGAAACATATATTCAAGTACTAATGTAAAAGTTAGTAGTTTGAGCCCATTCTGTAATGCTGCAGAGGTGAACTGCTGGTGTAAGGAATACAGACAAGGTGATCTATGGGACAGATATACACACTGTAATACATGGACTCACTAGTTTGCTGTTATTATTTGCCACAGAGTCAAGTATGACACATAATGACTATAAAAAGAGCAAGAGCCACTTGGGGAGCACCATATCTGACCTTTATCACCTTCACAGAGAAACTGTTCCCATCCACAGCATCTATAAACACAAAATCATTCCCATGAGGCCTGACATGTCCCTCCAAGCTCCTATTCCTTTTTCTACTCATCTTAACACTAATCTTATTGCTTTACTGCGTCCAAAATCCTTTTTGATAGCTCACAAACCACACAGAACCATACTGAGGGAGTCAAAAGGTTTTTCAGAGTAATAACGGAATACCATCAAGACAGCTCCCAAAATATTCATGCAGGAACTTGAGCCTCAAGCCTTGAAGCATTCCCAAGTTCTCAGTCCTGCCAATATTGGCTTCCCTCACCCAATTGTCCAATAGAGTTCTTAGTCCTGTCAATACTGACTTCCCCATCCTTAATTGTTTAACAAAGTTCTCAGTCCTGCCAATGTTGGCTCCATCCCCATTCCTAAGGCCTCATCTCCTCATCTCATGCCATTTCTCCAATTCAGTCATGGCTGATACTTCTGCTGCTACCATCCCAAAGTGTGTCCTACATTTCATTAGGCTGGGGTAGGTCTCTTAACTCTGGCTGGGAGGAGAATTCCATCTCTTCTGGTGAAGTAAAAATTGTTATTTTCTGCAGCTAGAGATGTTTAATTTATTGGCGAGAATAGCTTATCCTTTTGTAGATTGCTGAAACTGGAAAATCCCCTTATGGAATGGTAGAAAGCCAGTCCTTTTGTGGATAAGCCAACGTGCCTTGCTTGCAAGTCCCACCCCTCTACATAGTCAGTCACCCACACTAGAAAAACCATATTGAGAGACAAACTCCACAGGTTACCCTTCTGGCTTTTCTAGTCAGTAACATTCACACATGAAAAATTAACTTTCACTTTACAATATACAATAGCTATACTCATGAAAGTATGTAATCAGTATCCTCATTCCTCATGCTTTAATCTCCTCCATTTTAGTTAGTCAATTTGTGGCTTAGTGGCAAGAAGCTGTGCTACAATTCTGAAGGGACATAGTTCAAATCCATCAGCTGTTCTACCAAAGAAGGATGGACAGTCTCCTCCTGTGCATTTTACTGCCTCTGAAATCCACCAGAGGGTCAGCTACGGGTCAGATCCAACTTGACGGTACAACAAAAACGACATCATGCCAGTAATCTGAGGAAACAAGCACTTTCCCTCCTCTTAAGAATCTTCTATTTCAATTAAAACTTTTAGCATCTACATCCATAAGCAGAGTTCAGTCAAGAGCAAACCCTTCACATTGCAACCATCAACATTAGCTCACCACATAGAACATCTTTCTTGGTTCTGGTCAACTCATTTCAAGCCATCCAAGGCTAGATATACATAGGCATCAGCTGCAAACTCAGGAGTCCACACTTCTCCTGTGTACCAGACTGACCTTTCCCTTCATTCAATAATAGCCCCCACATGGAGCAAGTCAACAAGATGGGGGTACACATGACTCCCTGTTTCTCCAAGTCAGTAAGGTGTTTGCATGTATCCATGTGCATGTTATGTCAACAATGCTGATGGAACATGTCCAGACTCAGCCTGTCTCTTCATTGCTGCATACCTCTTAATTCTACTCCATTGGATCCAACAAGTGAGAATATACACCAGCTCCATTTAACTTCAAGTCCTGGAAAGGGGTAGTACCCTGTCAAACTACTTTTCTGGTTTTAAAAGGTCAAATTATCTTTTTAACTTTATTCCAAATGTAAAAAAAAAAAAAAGACAAAAGTCCAGGGAAGATCTATTCCAATTCAAATCTCTTCAGAGTACTGGGTGGGGCTTAATTTTCTCCTTAGCCTAAGCACCATACTGCTTTCAACAAGCATTTCTATAGAGAAAATCCTCAAATTTTAGTAGCTCTAATTTGCCTCACAGCAGATTACACACTTTCAAGATTTACAATATCTAGTAATCATTTATATGATACATCTTATCATGACATCAGCAAAAATATTATTTATACAATATATCTTAACATTACTACATAACAAAAAAATCTCAAGCAATATTCATAAAGTTAAGCCGACAAAAACTTTAACACATAAACTTCTCAAGGGACTAGCAGTTTAATCTTCAATTTATACCCACAAGCCATTTTACTCACATATGGCCTGCTGCAGGCCAAAAGCTGCTTTTAAGTAGCATCAAAAGTGAGCATTTTAACAGCACTTCCAAAACCTATAACTTCTTACAAAATCCCACATATACATAAGCCTGGAGCTATCATATCAAACCCCATTTCTGAGAAAAATCATAAAAAGAGCAAGGGCCATGTGGGGAGTGCCATATCTTTGACTCCACAACCCTATGAAAAACTATCTGAACTTCATCCTATCCTGTGCCTCATCATCTCAGACACATTTGAGCCTATGGCTGCAGTCATTGTGTGTCTATTATTTGCTGATCCTCCACCTTTCCAAGCATGTTGTTCTTTTATGGGTTCAACATTGTTGTTGTTGTTGTTGTTGTTGTTGATGATGATTGTCATTGAGTCGAGCATGACTCATAGTGATGCTGTGAACAAAAGGTGAGAAGCCTTTCTATAACTATCCTCACTTATCAAAGTTCATAGAGATTCCAGAGGCATGTTGTTTAGGAAGTGGATGAAGTTGACATCAATGAGGTTGACTTTCCCTCCCCCCGGTTTTAAAATACCTATTCTATCTCCTATGAAGTGGTCTGAGAGCTTCCTCTTTTCCTCAGTAAACTGTACAAAGTATCTGAAAAAACACTACTCATCTACCATTGACTCTGGATTACATTTCTGGCAGTTCTAGTTAAGTGAGTCTTTTCCCTGAATTCTCTTCCTCAATTTAGTGACTAAATAAGCACAAGAATGAGCCCTTTGTGTTTGCTCTCAGCAGGTTAAACATGATGGATGATCAATGTTGTTTAAAGAATATCCTAATTACATTTGCTTGCACTGCATGATGAAGACGCAAGGTCAGCCCAGACTCTGGTTTTAGAGATAAAGTAAAGAAAGTTATGACCTAACAGAGTCACCTCATATATAAGTTGATCCCACAAAGTGTAATTCCAATCTCTTTTTGTGTTACCAGCTGTGCCTCAGATTACTTGTGATGTTGTAGCTGGGAAGATCAGCAATGCTGAGTTCATGGCAAAATGTCCTGCAGGATGCCAAGACCCCAGATACTCAGTGTATGGCACTGATGTGTATGCATCCTCTTCCAGCGTGTGCGGTTCTGCCATCCACAGGTGGGTACTGCTGAGCACATTGATATCAACAACTGGGTACAGACAGGTGAAGAGTTGTCAGGTTTAGCAAAGGAAAACTGTATTTTTACCTGAACATCCTCTTTTATCCCCTCTACTGATGGAATGAGCCGTGTGTTGCCTGGATCCTCTTGCGGCATTCTGTGGAAAGGGGATGGCGGGAACTGCTTTCTGCTCATCATTGTGGGGAGAAGAGTTGAGAGAGGAGAATTCTCTTCTCTTCATACCATGACAAGAAGACTGAAGTTCTCAAGTACACTAAGCTTTTCTTTTTTTATTTTGTATCTGTATGAGCTGAGAAAGGAAATGGTAGAGATTTGATCTACAAGTTTAGAGGAATGATGTGACAACTGTGGTAATAAATTAAGGACAAATGAGGACAAGGAAAGTGATAAAAGGATGACAGTTGGAACCATTTGATCACCTTTTGGTCTGGGATTCAGGAAGGAGGGTGGGAGGTGTGGCATGCTTTGAATTAAATCACTCCCTGAACAGAGAGTTGAAAGTGAACTTCACATACTCCTCCTGACTCTTTGACTTAGATTTGCAGTCAAAATGCTGGGAAGTGAATGCTTATTTACTATATTTTATTATATGGCTAATATTTATGTTCTAGATCCTCTACTTGTGATATTTCTATTTTACTCTCACAATTCTCCTCCAAAGTAGTTCCTTCTATTATCCATATTTTAATATGAAAAGAAGTTTAATAGTTTTTCTAAAGATGTAGTACTAAAAAAAAATTTGAGAGTCAGGCCTCAGTTCCAAGCCTAGCTGATCCCAAAGCCTGAACTCCTGATCCTGATCAATACCTTAAGTCAATATCAGGTGCTGATTATAGGATGTGGTTTCTGAATTATTCACATTTCTAGTATATGTTTTCTTTTCTTTACTTGCACATGAGTTAGAGGATTGTCTACTTGTCCTGCACCAGTGACAGGCAAGAAGATGTAAAAAAAAATGTATCCCTTTCAAAGGGATGGGCAGACTTGATATTTTTCACTGAAAGAGTTGAAGGAAAAATTATCATTTGAGTTCCAATGGCAAAGGTTGCTACAGAGAAAATATTGAATGCCACAGGAAAGCATCAAATAAAGATGGAAGGGAACAGAGTCATTGTACCAAAGAGAATTGGTCAACAATATTTAAAAAAAAATTTTAGGAGGTAATGTGTGATCAAGAATCAATGGTACTAAAGGAAGTCCAAGTTGAATTGAAGGCATTGGTGAAATACCAGGCTCCAGGACTTGACTGGATACCAACTGACATGGTTCAGCAAACAGATGCTGCCCCTTAGGCATACTCAACCATGCCAAGAATCTTGAAAGATCTTGTCAGCTGACTAGAAAAAAAATCAATATTTGTGCTCATTCCAATGAAATATGATCCAACAGAATATGGAAATGATTAAACATTATCATCATCATGCATTATAGCAATTATGGATAGATAACATTGCAAAAAATGGAGGTCTCAGAAAACTTAATTGTGTTCATGTACAACCTGTGCATAGACCAAGAAACAGTAATTAAAACAGACCAAAAGGATACTGCATAATTTAAAAAATAGGACAGGCATCATCCTTTCACCATATTTACTCAATCTGTATAATTTGTGAATAATCTGAGAAGTAGAGGTGTATGAAGACTCATCAACAAGATGTGATATGCAGATATCATAACCTTGCTTACAGAAAAGAAGACTTGAAGAACTTACAGATGAGGCTTAAAGACTACAACCTTCAGTACAGATTACACATCAACATAAAGGATGAAAAAAATCCTCACAACAAAAGCAATAAATTACATCATGAATAACAAAACAAACCAATATCACAGGTAAAGCCATTTCCTTCCTGAATACCACCTTAGTATCCCTGGATGCTCTAAGAGTCAGTACTTGCATTGCATACTCGGACCCAAGCCTCACTGTAGCAGTTGCCTGCCTGAGGAGGCTGCTAACTCACAGGACATCTATCTTCCCAAATGAAACAAGTCTTCCTTTGAGTCAAAGATCAAAGAGAGATTCAGGTAGGGTGAACTGTGAACTACATTTTGCTTCTCTGGATCAATGAGCTCCTGAGTCAAGGTTATCAGACGAAGTGTCTACTAAGGCCTCAGGTATGAAAAACTCTACCACAGCAATGACGTGGAAGAAGCATACTACCTCACACCCTATATAAAACTGAAACAGGATATCACCCAAAAAAGTGATGAAAACACAGAATTAATGGATTTCCTGGAGCCAGAAACCTGATGGAACTTTAAAACACAGACTTCAAAAGAACAATGATTCAGTATTTTCAATAAGTCAAAAGCATATTAGAAGAATTGCAGGACTCTGCATACAAAAGCCAAGAGGAACTTAAAAAAGCAATCCAAGACAATTCAGACAAAGCACACAAGACATTAAAGGCTCTAGAAAGAGAGTAAGCCACAAACCAGAATATGAGGACCAATGTTTCAGATGCTGTCAAAATGTTGGAGGAACATATGAGCAGAGTTGAAGAGATGGAGCACAGAATCCATGAAATAGAAGATAAAATTCTCAGCACTGATTTGCAAGAGCAAAAAGCAGAATCAAAAAAGGAAGGGAAAAGAAGATGGAAAATCCAAGAATAATTAGAGAAAATCATCAAGAGGAATAACATGCACATAATTGGAATCCCAGAACAGGAAGAAGCAAGTAAAGGTACTGAGAAAGTTATGGAAGAATTACTTGAAGAAAACTTTACAAGCATAATGAAGAATGATAGAATATCTATTGAAGAAGCTAAGAGAACACCATATAGAATAGAACGCAAAAGAAAAACAACAAGGCATATCATAGTCAAATTTGCCAGAACCAAAGATAAGGAGAGAATTCTGAAAGCAGTAATGGAGAAACCAAGAGTAACTAACCTATAAAAGAGAGCAAATAAGATCAAGTGCAGATTTCTCAGTAGAAACCATGCAAATAAGAAAATAGTAGAATGACATGTATCAAACACTCAAAGAATACAACTGTCAACCAAGAATACTGTACCCAGCAAAACTATCAATTATGATGGAGAGATTAAAAAATTCTTAGAAAAGCAAAACCTAAGTGAGTTTTTAAAAATAAGACTAGTGTTGCAGGAAATACTGAGAGAAGTCTTTCTTACATAGAAGCCACAGAAAGCATAATGGGCCAAAATAATCAGCAACAACACTAAAAGAAAACCTTAACAAAATGATAGCAATAGGAGTGACATCCACTTCCTTAACAGCAGGCCTCGGGGCAACTCTGTGAACTTTGATAAATGGCAACGGCTGTGGAAGGACTTCAGGCCTTTTGCTCATGGGATTGCTATGAGTCGTGCTTGACTCAATGGCAATCAACAAGAACAACTCTCAATAATTATACTGAATGTGAATAATTTAAATGCCCCAGAGAAAAAGAGTAGCAATTTGGATTTAAAAAAAAAAAATCAATATACTGTCTACAAAGACACATCTGAAAAGTGAAGATAAAGGAAGACTAAAAATAAAAGGATGAAAAAATATACCAAGCAGATGGCTACCAGAAAAAGCAAGCATAACAATATTAATTTCTGAGAAAATATATTTTGGCATGAGAACCATCACAAAGGACAGGGAGGGTCACTACAAAATGCTTAAAGTGTCAATAGAACAAGAAGACATAATCATAATACATATCTATGCATCAAATAAAAGATGTGCAAAATATACAAAGCAAACATTAATAGAACTGAAAAGAGAAATAGATAACTTCACAATAATAGTAGGAAATTTCAATACACCACTCTCACGAAAAGATAGGACTACCAGAAAGAAACTCAACAAAGATGCTGAAGAATTAAAATACACAATAAACCAACTCTATCTCATAGAATATATGGAGGCTAATATACCCCAAGAAACTGCAATATACTTTCTTCTCTCATGTGTGTGGAACATTCTCCAGAATATATCAACTTTGAGGTCACTAATCAAGCATCAGAAAATTTAAAACCACAGAAATAATGCAAAGCATCTTCTCAGACCACAATGGTACATAATTAAAATTAGTAACAAGAGGAAAAGTAAAGGAGAAAAAAACATACATTGCAAAGCTCAACAAAACCTTGTTTGAACATAAGTGGGTACTAGAAGAAATAAAAAATGAAATTAAAAATTTTCCTGAAACAAATGACAATGAAAACACAACTTACCAAAACCTCTGGGAAACAGTAAAAGCCGTAATCAGAGGTCAATTTTTAGTAATAAACAATTACATCAGAAAGGAAGAAAAAAATACAATTGACTCAGCCTCTAATAGAAATGAAATTATAAAAATTAGGGCAGAGAGAAATGAAATAGAAAACAAAAATAATTGAAACCATCAATAAGACCAATAGTTAGTACTTTGAAAAGGTCAATAAAATCAACAAACCACTAGCGAAGCTAACTAAGCAAAAGAAAGAAATGACACAAATAATCAGAATAAGAGATTAAAAAGGCAATGTCATAACAGAACCAACCAGAATAAAAAGGTTAACAATGGAATATTATGTAAAAACTATACACGAACAAATATGAAAACCTAGAAGAAATGTGCAAAAACTTAGAAACTCAAAACCTACCTAAACTGACACAGACAGTAGTAGAACACCTGAACAGACTCATTACAAAAGAAGAAATTGAACAATAATAAAACAACTTCCAACAAAAAACCAGAAAAGGAAATGCATAGTAAAGTGTACTGTCAACTTGGGGGGGGGGGGGAATTATATAACAAGGAAAGAATTTTTTTTCCCCTTTCAAAGAGAAAAAGGAACTGGTGGGAGGAATGGGCAAGGAAGAAAATGTGCATCAATGATCAATGGGGAGCAGAGGGAATTAAATGGAATATGTCATTTAAAAAAAGTATATGTTGCATTAAAGAAAAACCACCAACAGTGTGAAAATTAATGCTCAATAAGGGATTATCAAACATTATAATTTATTCATTACATTAATTAG